TTCTCGTTTTATGCTTAACAACGTTTTACCGGTATTGTTACGAATCTTCGTTTGGTCATAACTTCCTCGTTATAAGTCGGATTTTAGTGTTCTTTATATTTTTGGAAACCTTGTTACGATATCTACCACTTAGAATACTCAAACTGAGCTTTTTGAACAATTCATTTTTGATGATATTTTTATTACTTCCCAAAGAGATTTACAAGATTCGACTTTTAGACATTACATTGACCTACAATAACGGGTTGTTACAAGAATGGAATCAGCCCAAATGCCATAACTTACAACACAATAATCCATGGATTCTGTAAAGAATGGAAACTACATGATGCTTTTAAAGTTTTCCATGAAATGAAATGGGTAAATGTGGATCCTAATACTGTAACTTACAACACATTAATCACTGCATGTTCCCAATCAGGTAAAATCGAAAAGGGTAATCAGATTTTTGCATAAATGATAAGAACCGGGGTCAAACTTGATATATGACTTATAACGCATTGTTGTTGGGACTTTGTAACGAAGGAAAAACCAAGAAAGCTGCTTATTTGGTTAAAGAACTTGATAAAAAGAAATTAGTACCAAATTCTTCAACATTTTATGCCCTAATTAAAGCCCGTTGTGCTCGAAAGAACCCACATCGTGGTTTTCAAATTTATAAAAGCATGGTGAAAAGTAATTGTCGTCCAAATGAAGATACTGTGAAGATGTTGATTTTATCATTCTTGCAAACGGATGATTATGATGGTGCTTTTGGTGTTTTTAAAGAGATGTTAGAGAGGCCTATTAGGCCTGATTTGGTTGTTTATAGTGGGTTGTGTAAAGGGTTTTCAAAAGCTTGGAAAGATAGATTGGTTATGGATCTATTAAGCGAGGTTGATAATGGGTGTTTTAGTTATGAACGTTATGAGAAAGTTAAAAGCATTATTTGTGACTCTAACAATGAAGGTAAAGAACTTGAAGAAAAAGTGTAACTTGATTTATTTAATCATGACAAAAACGAATCCGAATACAGAATGTGTGTGGGAGCAAATAATGCGTTATACTTCATAATGTATATATTCAATAAAGCTTTAAAAGTTTTTGATGTATATCGAATTAAGCTTTAATATTTGTGCTATCAATATCTATACTTATATACATCTATATCTATATCTATATCTATACATCTATACAATTATATAAAGCATATTGCTTCTTTCTTGAATTTTTAAGAGGCATAAGTTTCACTTCTTAATGTACACATCAACTTTGTATATAAACTACTATGTGGCCATGATCCTTCAAGTAATCACTCCAATCTATATAGCTTGCTAAACTTAACTCTATAAATAGTTTTGAAGTAGAAGAAATAAAGATTGTGTAAGTAGCAATTGACTTTTTTATTAATTTATTTTCAAAAGTTTATGTTTATATTCTACCATATACACAAAGTACAATGCTATTTATGGTTACGTCTATTTTAGATACGAAAGAGGAATGGGTCGTGAAGGTTGTGCAATAAAGGTTGTAATTTTCTTGGTCTTGATAGATTTGTACTCTATATATTAAAGATAATAATATTTTGCGAATTCTTGTTTTATTTCACAATAAATTATTAGTTTTATTGAAATTGGTAGTTATTACTTGTATAATCTTGATGTATAAAGTATATGTGTTGTTTTATTTAGATCACATCCCATTTTGAACACATATGTGTTCTTTTATTTATATGTGTTATTGTGAGGAGGTTTAAAAATTATATTAGTTGATTATTTGAGACTTGAGAACTCTTAGCTGTTGAGGATATTGATAGTTAAAGAATTAGTAACTTCAATTTTGTAATCTTTCATGCATTCGGTTCATAGGAAATTAAATAATTGAATGTAATTTAATTTGATCATTGTTTCTAACTATATAAAATTACGTATTTTATTTTGTTTGGGTAGATGGACTTCTATTTATCCTTTCATTTTATTGATTTAGAAGAAATGTTGGCTTAGAAATTAAATATTAAATATCTTTGATTTTTTTTTGAAACAACAATGAAATCTTTGTTGATGTTTGGATTGATTGTGATAAATAAATAATAAGATTAGAATATATTAATAGATAAAAGATATAGCATCTTAATTACTTTTCATTTTTAATTATTTTTTAGTTAAAGAAAATAAAATAATAAGTTAAATATTTTTTGGAACACCTTTGTTAAAACATAAATAGTTATATACAAATCACTCTTTATCTATCATCTATCGATGGGTAGATATCTATACACAGTAACTTTTCCTTATAGACAAATTATTCATGTTTTATTAAGTTGTGCAATAGAAATATTTAAAACGTAAATACCAATATTTAAAACATAAATAGTTATATACAAATCACTCTTTATCTATCATTTATATATCTCTTTAGCTGGCTAGTGGTAATTTTTTCTTTTGTAATATCTTATCGACTTTTCATTCAACTGATTTCAACATAGAACTTAATACAAATGCACAATAATAACTATTAGTTATCAACGTTTTTATCTAAATGACTAATGTCTAAGAATAAAAAAAACTTAAAGCGTTATGTAAATTGAAATTGGAGTATAAATATAATGTACATATAAAAATCGATATTCACAATAATGACTACTATTAATTTATATGATTTTCGAAAAACTGACTATCATTTTTATTAACTTAGAAAGTAATTTCAAAAGCATAAACCACAAAAAATATTTTTTTTAAAAAATAAGTAGATTATTTTTACTCGTTTATACTTTCCTATTTTTTATAATTTCAAAATACGAGTCATTTTTTTATTCTCTTATCATGGGTCAGAAGACTATAATAGGTTTTCTGTCAACATTATTTTTATTCTCAAATTGAGCACCCCTAAATATAAAACAATAGTATATAATTTGTGAAGTAATGAAGGGGGCTAGATTGGCATTAAAAGAAACTTAATTTGTGAAGGTATCTAAGGTTAGGAAAGATAGGATAAAGTTTAATGTCTAGGGACTAATCCCTAAAAATTCGTCCATAACCCTCCAACAAGAAAAAGTTCAAAGCCTAGGACCAAATTGGCATTACAAGAAACTTAATTTGTGAAGATACCTCCAAAATGTTTTTTGAGACTGTTCTAGCCTTTACGCATGGATTAATGGAGTACTCTCAAAATCGATCCTTTGCATCGCTCGACAGCAGCAGAGGAAAAAAAAAGGCGAGGTAGGGTGGAGAAGGGAAGAATGAACTGAGAAGAGAAGGGGGAAAGAAGGGTCTGCAAGTGTCGATTCTTGAATGTGTGTTGAGGCTGCGAAATCGATTCATACAATCCGGTATTTCCTTGCTTTAACTCGTCTTTTGATTTCATGTTTCAATTGCTAGTGATTGGATTCAAGCAATCTCATTCTTCTTACTTCCAATCCTTGATATGTTATGTGATTAATCCCCGGCCACGTTTTGTGTGTTTTTGATGGGTGACGGCTGTCAAAATATATTTAAGAACACTCTCATATATGTGGTAATTGGTGAGTAAGGATTGGTTAGAATTGTAGAATAATTTTCTTTCTATTTTCTCTTTGGTATCTTCGTTCATGATTTATTTTGCTCCAATTTTCATAGATTCTTGTTTGATGTTTTTCTATAAAAAGACCATGTTTTGAACCCTCCAAAAGGTCTTCAAAATAGTCCTTTAAGGTTTCATATGTGGCTTAATGGTGGAGGAAGCTCAAGCCCTTAATGGTGTTTTTTCTTTTAGCAATGTTTGAATCTGTAAGAAGTATTATGAGTTGGCTTGGTGATTGTGCAAAGTTATAAATTTTATATTTTTATAAGATAAGATTAATGCATTTATTGATTTTATAATTTTTGACAGGATATAGCAGTGAAAAACAATCCAGTACAATGTACAACTCCTCTTGGACTTCCTGTTATTCAACCATACCGCAAATTAGGAAGACATCTTGTGAGTTATTTTAGTATGTCAATTTTTCAAGTAAAGTCCCTGTATTTTGGCTTTTTTGCTAATATGAACCAGAAGTTTTTTGTTGTTTTTTGAAATGTGTAGATTAAGACATCTCTTCAAGTTTTGACACTACAACGAGAAACCGATAAGGTTATATCTGCAACCTTTTCTTTATTATACTAAATGCAAGAAAAATAACATTTTTTTTGTTATAAAAGGTGATGGTGAAAAGACAAAGAACAGCTTTTCCTCCTAACTTTGTCCACTCTGTTGCTGGGTCCCACATGATGATGACAACCATTGCTTGTAAAGAGGCTGGCTTCAGTTTTGCAGGTTTAAAATCATTATTATTTCATATATTTTATTTCTCCGTTTTTTTCCATTAAAAATATATAAATTAAAATCCCATTTCAACTCTGCTTGATTCAGCCATGAAAAACCCTAATTCTACTCTCCTTAGAAGTAAATGGAGTCCTATTCCAATACCCCACAGAACTATCCTTGAACCCAAAGGTCAAGATCTTGATTACATCAACATAGCTCACAGTCATCTTCTTCACTTTGATTGTGCTAAGCTAGATAAATTATTAACAAAATCTAATTTATTAGGAGTGAAGCGCATTCGGTTAAAGCTTCAAAATGACTACGTCATTTCCCTAAAATTCTTCAAATGGATTGAACTTCACAACCCTAGTTTACTCACCCTCGAAACAAATTCCATCGTCCTCCACATCCTCACCAAGAATCGTTAATTTGTGTTAGTTGAATCCATTTTAAAGAAGATCATCGGTTCTTGTTCTTGTGATGTAAACCTCCATTCTAAGCTCTTCGATGCTGTTCTTCACTCTTATCGAATGTGTGATTCCACTCCTCGTGTTTTCGATGCCCTTTTCAAAATTTATGCTCAGATGAAGCAGTTCAGGAATGCAACAAATACATTTTGTCGTATGAAGGAATACAGATTTCTTCCCACCATTGAATCATGTAACATGTATATGAGTTCATTGCTTAGTATCAATCGAGTAGACATCACGTTACCATTTTACAACCAAATGTGAAGATCCATGATCACAATCAATGTGTTCATTCTCAACATGGTGATGAATGCTTATGTTCAATTAGGGAAACTAGAGAATGCAATCCAAGTGTTCGATGAAATGCAAGGAATGGGAATGAACCCTTTTGTCTCATCCTACAATACATTGATCACTGCATACATCAACCAAGGCCTTTTAACAACTGCAATCAATTTGAAACTTACAATGGATAAGAATGGAATAAGCCCAAATGCCATAACTTACAACACAATAATCCATGGATTCTGTAAAGAAGAGAAACTACATGATGCTTTTAAAGTTTTCCATGAAATGAAAAGGGAAAATGTGAATCCTAATACTGTAACTTACAACACATTAAGCACTGCATGTTCCCAATCAGGTTAAATCGAAAAGGGTAATCAGATTTTTGAAGAAATGATAAGAACCGGGGTCAAACCTGATATTTTGACTTATAACGCATTGTTGTTGGGACTTTGTAACGAAGGAAAAACCAAGAAAGCTGCTTATTTGGTTAAAGAACTTGATAAAAAGAAATTAGTACCAAATTCTTCAACATTTTCTGCCCTAATTAAAGCCCAATGTGCTCGAAAGAACCCATATCGTGATTTTCAACTTTATAAAAGCATGGTGAAAAGTAATTGTCGTCCAAACGAAGATACTGTGAAGATGTTGATTTTTTCATTCTTGCAAACGGATGATTATGATGGTGCTTTTGGTGTTTTTAAAGAGATGTTAGAGAGGCCTATTGGGCCTGATTTGGTTGTTTTGAGTGGGTTGTGTACAGGGTTTTCAAAAGCTTGGAAAGATAGATTGGTTATGGATCTATTAAGCGAGGTTGATAATGGGTGTTTTAGTTATGAACGTTATGAGAAAGTTAAAAGTATTATTTGTGACTCTAACAATGAAGGTAAAGAACTTGAAGAAAAAGTGTAACTTGATTTATTTAATCATGACAAAAACGAATCCGAATACATAATGTGTGTGGGAGCAAATAATGCGTTATACTTCATATTGTATATTCAATAAAGCTTTAAAAGTTTTTGATGTATTTCGAATTAAGCTTTAATATTTGTGCTATCAATATCTATACTTATATACATCTATATCTATATCTATATCTATACATCTATACAATTATATAAAGCATATTGCTTCTTTCTTGAATTTTTAAGAGGCATAAGTTTCACTTCTTAATGTACACATCAACTTTGTATATAAACTACTATGTGGCCATGATGCTTAAAGTAATTACTCCAATCTATATAGCTTGCTAAGCTTAACTCTATAAATAGTTTTGAAGTAGCAGAAATAAAGATTGTGTAAGTAGCAATTGACTTTTTTATTATTTTATTTTCAAAAGTTTATGTTTATATTCTACCATATACACAAAGTATAATGCTATTTATGGTTACGTCTGTTTTAGATACGAAAGAGGAATGGGTCGTGAAGGTTGTGCAATCATGGTTGTAGTTTTCTTGGTCTTGATAGATTTGTATTCTATATATTAAAGTTAATAATATTTTGCAAATTTTAGTTTTATTTCACATTAAATTATTAGTTTTATCGAAAATGGTAGTTATTACTTGTATAATCTTGATGTATAAAGTATATGTGTTGTTTTATTTAGATCACACCCTATTTTGAACACATATGTGTTCTTTTATTTATATGTGTTATTGTGAGGAGGTTTAAAAATTATATTAGTTGATTATTTGAGACTTGAGAGCTCTTAGCTGTTGAGGATATTGATAGTTAAAGCATTAGTAACTTCAATTTTGTAATCTTTCATGCATTTGGTTCATAGGAAATTAAATAATTGAATGTAATTTAATTTGATCAATGTTTCTAACTATATAAAATTACGTATTTTATTTTGTTTGGGTAGATGAACTTCCATTTATCCTTTCATTTTATTGATTTTGAGGAAATGTTGGCTTAGAAATTAAAAATTAAATATCTTTGATATTTTTTTTTGAAACATCAATGAAATCTTTTTTGATGTTTGGATTGATTGTGATAAATAAATAATAAGATTAGAATTTATTAGTAGATAAAAGATATAGCATCTTAATTACTTCTCATTTTGAATTATTTTTTTGTCAAAGAAAAAAAATAATAAGTTAAATATTTTGTGGAACACCTTTGTTAATTTTATTAAAATAGTCAATTTAAGCTTTATAAAAATAAATGATATCTATCGATGGGTAGAGATCTTTACACGGTAACTTTTCCTTATAGACAAACTATTTATGTTTTATTAAGTTGTGCAATACAAATATTTAAAACGTAAATACCAATATTTAAAACATAAATAGTTATATACAAAACACTCTTTATCTATCCTTTATATATCTTTTTAGCTGGTTAGTGGTAATTTTTTCTTTTGTAATGTGTTATCGACTTTTCATTCAACTGATTTCAACATACAACTTAATTCAAATGCACAATAATAACTATTGGTTATTAGCGTTTTTATCTAAATGACTAATATCAAAGAATAAAAAAACTTAAAGCGTTATATATATTGAAATTGAAGTATAAATATAATGTACATATAGAAATTGATATTCACAATAATGACTACTATTAATTTATATGATTTTTGAAAAACTGACTATCATTTTTATTAACATAGAAAATAATTTCATGTTTCAATTGCTAGTGATTGGATTCAAGCAATCTCATTCTTCTTACTTCCAATCCTTGATTTGTTATGTGATTAATCCCCATCCATGTTTTGTTTGTTTTTGATGGGTGATGGCTGTCAAAATATAGTTAAGAACACTCTCATATATGTGGTAATTGGTGAGTAAGGATTAGTTAGAATTGTAGAATAATTGTCTTTCTATTTTCTCTTTGGTATCTTCGTTCATGATTTCTTTTGCTCCAATTCTCATAGATTCTTGTGTGATGTTTTTCTATAGAAAGACAATGTTTTGAACCCTCCAAAAGGTCTTCAAAACAGTCCTTTAAGGTTTCATATGTGGCTTAATGGTGGAGGAAACTCAAGCCCTTAATGGTGTTTTTTCTTTTAGCAATGTTTGGATCTGCAAGAAGTATTATGAGTTGGCTTGGTAATTGTGGAAAGGTATAAATTTTATATTTTTATAACCTTAGACTTCATGTTGTTCAACCATACCGCAAATTGGGAGGACATCTTGTGAGTTCTTTTAGTATGTCAAATTGTCAAGTAAAGTCCCTGTATTTTGGCTTTTTTGCTAATATGAACCAACACTTTTTTGTTGTTTTTTTTAAATGTGTAGATTAAGACATCTCTTCAAGTTTTGACACTACAACGAGAAACCGATAAGGTTATATCTGCAACCTTTTTTTTGTTAAGCTAAATGCAAGAAAAATAACTGTTTTTTTTTTGTTATAAAGGTGATGGTGAAAAGACAAAGAACATCCTTTCCTCCTAACTTTGTCCACTCTCTTGATGGGTCCCACATGATGATGACAGCCATTGCTTGTAAAGAGGCTGGCTTAAGTTTTGCAGGTTCAAAATCATTATTATTTCATATATTTTATTTCTCCGTTTTTTTTCATTAAAAATATATAAATTAAAATCCCATTTCAACTCTGCTTGATTCAGTCATGAAAAATCCTAATTCTACTCTCCTTAAAAGTAAATGGAGTCCTATTCCAATACCACATAGAACTATCCTTGAACCCAAAGGTCAAGATCTTGATTACATCAACATAGCTCACAGTCATCTTCTTCACTCGAATTGGGCTAAGCTAGAAAAAATATTAACTAAATCTAATTCATTACGAGTGAAGCACATTCTGTTAAAGCTTCAAAATGACTACGTCATTTCCCTAAAACTCTTCAAAAGGATTGAGCTTCACAACCCTAGTTTACTCACCCTCGAAACAATTCCATCATCCTCCACATCCTCACCAAGAATCGTAAATTTGTGTCAACTGAATCCATTTTAAAGAAGTTCATCGGTTCTTGTTCTTGTGATGTAAACCTCCATTCTAAGCTCTTCGATGTTGTTCTTCACTCTTATCGAATGTGTGATTCCACTCCTCGTGTTTTCGATGCCCTTTTCAAAATGCATGCACAGATGAAGCAGTTCAGGAATGCAACATATACATTTTGTCGTATGAAGGAATACGGATTTCTTCCCACCATTGAATCATGTAACATGGATATGAGTTCACTCCTCGTGTTTTCAATGCCCTTTTCAAAATTTATTTTGTCGACTTCCGCCTTTTTCTCTTCGTTAGACTTTTCAATAGCCACCCCCTTTCCTTTACCATCATCTGTATGCTTCAGCTTTGAAGAACTCGAGCTTCCTCCTTCAGTTGATGAACCAATAACAACCCCTTTTACAATAGGTCTTGCTATCGGTTTTGTGGTTACTATGGTTGTTTTTATTGGATCGGTATTGAGTGGTAATGAAATTGGAATTTGCGAAGATAAAACCTTTCCCACAACTTTTGCATATTCACTGGATTTTCTTATCCCTTCTCCCCTTTTTACATCTTTCGAACTTTTGCTCACTTGGAAAAAAATTTCTTATCCCTTCTCCCTTTTTTCTACTCTTTTGAAATAGTAATAATCAAATGTGAGTTTGAAGTTTCTTCAAATTTTTGTGTTCTCTTGTTTAACACCCTATATGTGACAGATTTATGAGAATATCTCAATCAAATTCCCTCATCAGCTTTCGTCTAAAATTTAGAAAGATTATCATTGAGATTCATTATGAAACATCTGCAACCAAAAACATGGAAAATTTTCACATTAGGTTTTTGTTTGTTAATACTTTCACAAGTTGTGATGTTGGAACGACGATGTATGAAAGACCGATTTTGCGTAAAGCAAGTTGTCAAAACTACTTCTACCCATAAATATTGAGGCAGATTCGCATATGTGAGCATCATCCTCGCCACTTCGCATAATGAATGATTCCTCCTCTCGACAATACCGTCTTGCTGTGGTGTGTAAGGAGACAAAAAGTTATGAGATTTCTCAAATTTGTCAAAAACAAATCTAGGATTCGATTCTTGAACTCATATCCATTATCGCTCTTTATCTTACGAACTTTCTTCTTCAAACTCACTTCAAAATTTTTGATAAATCGATCATTACTTGAGTTGTTTCCAACTTCTGTCTAAGAAATAAAACCCAAGTAAATTGCTCAAAATCATTGACAATAACAAGTATGTACTTTTTCTTATTGAGAGACTCAATAGTCAAAGGACCATACAAGTCAATGTGAAGAAGTTCCAACGTTTCAACGATCTTTGAATCAATGGTGATTGGATGACCTTGACGATATTGTTTACCATGTTCACAAGCTGCAAATAACGAATCATTGTCAAACTTTAAAACAGACAATCCACAAATAATAGCATTTAAAATAAGTTTATTCAAATTGTAAAAGTTGAGATGAGAAAGTATTCGATGCCAAAAGCCAGCTAAGTTCAAATGAAGCCTTCCATAGTAAGCAAACTGAAGAAATGCCCACTATAGGTTTTGTATTGAAAGTGAACATATCACCTTCCTCTTTGACTTCAACAGAACTTCCTTTGTTTCTTTTTATGAAATTACACCTCTTTCCTCATCGAAAAGCATTTGTTTTCTAGTTGCAACCACAAGTTAAGATACACTTATTAGGTTATTCTTTAACCCTTCGACATAAGCGACTCTTTGCACTGTGAAATTTCCATTTGTAACTTTCCCATATCCCTTAATCTTGCACTTTTGATTATTCCCAAACATTACTACTCCAACATTCTCTCACTTGCAAAAATCTCTTAAATTCTCCTTCCTTCCAGTCATGTGACGCGAGCACCCACAATCGATATACCAGTTTTCTTCATATTTCTCGTCACATAAAACCTACAATCATTCAGATAGATTTAGGTCCCTAAGACCTTTTGGTTCCATGGACATTAGCATGGAATAACATTATTAATGTATA